AATTGAATTAAATTAAAAATTGAATTGAAAATTGAATTGAATTAGCTTTGTACAAGAAAAATGACCGCATCAACTTGAGAATGAGTATATTTTGGTTATTTTTGTGTTTTCTTCGAGATTTAATATTTCTAGTGTTATTTGTCCGTAGCTTTCTTAATACTCGATCCTGCATTGGGCCTCGAGGGAAAGAGACAGGATCGCTAGCAGATGACTTCGAATGTTGATGATAAGCGCGCGCGAGCGTGTTCTTCTGCCAAATCGAGTTTGCTTCTGGCATATCAGGACGTGGTTGGTGTAAACATCATATTTGGTTGAAGTAAAACACCAAAGCTTGCCCGCTGAGAACGCATGATTTATTAGAAAACAAGTTACCATGTACGGTCGAGGCATTATTTTATTCCTCAAGTATATAAATCTGCTAAACTGAAAGAAAAAAAAAAAAACAAAATACGCTGGCACATCATTCGTGCTATCGGCACATCATTTCTGGTATCACAACTTTTTTGTTTACTCAAAAGCTACGCCAAGTTGAACGTCCTATGCCTTGCCGCCAACAAGCGCCTTCTCTTAGTGTATCGGTGCTCGGTGGCACCCGAAAGAAATGCGACTGACTCCGTGTCACGGCAAACCAAAAAGAATGTTTATTCCCTCGTGCCCCTGCTCAAGTCACGGGCCCCACGGCACGCGCGGGCGTGCCTCACTTATAGAAAGCGGGAAGTTCAAAAGTTACTCACGCCACACTTAGTGCGCAGACAGTCGTACAAAATCACTTTTTCTAAATTGCTTTCGCTGAATAGAGCCAACTCCAAGTCATGGCCAAAACGATCGAGCGCCATTGTTGTCGGAAAGCTCGTCTACTTCTTTAGCAGACGAACATTTTAGAACTTCGCTGTGCTAGGGGCGACACGCCGTGGTGCGCCAGGTTTTGTATTACGGAAGCGCATTCATTCCAGTAAAAAAACGAGACGAACTATAAGTTGGTATACAATATTTTAGGTTCTCTATATATTTAGGGTGCTATCTTTATTTACTTGCGTTTCTGCGATTTGTACAAACGCACGCAAATTTGTCTTTTCTCGATGAGGCGGATGCAGGTTTCCGTTGCCAGGGGGCGCGACCTGTACCGATCGTCTGCTATCGTCTGCAAATACGGTTCCCCCAAAGCCGTTTCAGGGCACACGATCGGTCCACACGCCCGATCTAAGGTACCGATCGTTTTTGTTTACCGATCGTATTTTGTTCCGGTTCCCTAAAACTCTCTATTTATTTTTTTCCGTTCCACTACAAAGCTCGATTCCCTTAAATTTTTGTTTTTATATCGTCTCTACAGCGCTTTTACGTCGTTACTTTCGTGCATCACATAATGCGCGAAAAAAAACAACAAAAAACGGTAGGATCGATGCTGCATCGCCTTTTTTTTTTTTTTTTTGTGGACATCAAGAAAAAAAAAAAAGATAGTAGTTGTCTTCACTTCGCACTGCATGTTTTAGCACGGAAGTTCCTATTTGGTTATGATGTCTTTACTTTCTTAAAAATTGTATACAGTAATTTAAATTACCGAATTACAAAAACGTCGAAATTGTATAATTGCTTTTCGTTGGGACGCCATGACGACAGCGACACTCGTGTTCCCTCGTGGCTTTCGCCAGCCTTTCTACGATGAATTGCCAGGATCGCGAGATGCAACAGCGTGACACTCCGTCTTCTGTGACGTCATTTGTTGCACTTCGGAACCACTTTTGATGTATGGCCAGCATAAGACGCTAACCACACCAGTCGGAGACGCGCTGCAGGTGCCATAGTACTGCTCCTAAAAGTAGCTGTCACGTGCTTTGCTCCGCGACTGTGATTCCCTCACAGCAGCCCTGACTGAGGGTTGCCAAATTACGGTGAAACGGAGTATAGACAAAACAAACCGGAAACGAGCTGCCAGCATACGATAGTCAAACTCCAACAAAAAGGATTAGTTTCTTCCCAAGCTGGACGACATTTACCGGGCATCTTTAGAGCTGCGAAGCTCAAAATCACGCGTACTCATAAGATTTTTTTTTTCTCGCGTGTTTGTGATTTTTATGATGTCCTGGAAGCAAGAAAAAAATATATATGGTGAAGTCACTCCGAGGGGGTACCGATAACTGCGAGCCACGAACATGAAGGATTCGCTAGCATCCGTCAGGAGTGTGAACGGTAAATCGTCACGCAAACATATTCTCACAAGCTGCAAATATTTATTTGGCTTAGCAAGTGGAATACTAGTATACTAACGACATGTGATTATTGTACACAAGATACCATTTCTCGGTTCTTCAAAACCATTTCCCTAGTCTGAACGGTCGCGCTACGGGCCCCGGCTAGCCGTGCCCTCGATAGACTACGGAGCTGCGTTGTGTCGTCTGCTACTGTACCGCCAACAGGAGAGCGATAGCTCTGTGTGCTCCACAGATGCGTGTTGCGGTATAACTCTGTACGTCTGTCCTAGAGGAAGACAAAAAGATAGGCTCTGTGACCCCCTCCTAAGCTAATAAAAACAAACAGAAGTATACTCGTTTGGACTGAAAGGTTTACAAAATAGTGACCAGACATTGGAAAAGCATATGTCACAGAACTTGGTTTATGAAATGGCATCATTGTTTCGAGCAAGAAATCACCTGCTCACCACTGGGACGATGAAATCGTCACTATTTATTGCGTCAGGTATATTTGCGCTCATGAAGAAAAATCTGAACACATCCTTCTCCCAAAGTCCTATGTCGAATAATAAACACTTTTTTAAACATCTATGCACAAATAACTCATTTTTTTCTACACTTGTATATACACGTTAATTAAACGACGTCAAACCGCATTTTTGATTAGATCTTGATGTCTACAACAACTACATTCATATTTTTTAGGGCTTTATTGAACGATAACTTCAACTATAGTTAATGGAACATGATGGCTCGATCTCAACAAAAACCTCAACGTGCGAAGCTTCCACAGACGGTCGCTTGCGAGTATTCTCAATGTGAGACTTCAGAAGCTTTCGCTTGCCATATGGAGCTTGCTTTCGACTACAGCACTGCACGGGCCCGGAAAGCGCGGAGCGCGCTGCTGTAGGGAGAGGTTGACTTACAAGATGACGTGTTACGTGGTCACGTAAGATGGCGTCATTTCGTGCAGCGTGATCACGTAAGATGACGTCATTTCGTGTAACGAGATCATGTAAGATGACGTGTTTGTGTCACGTGATCACGTAAGATGACGTCAGTTCGTATGAACTGACGTCATCTTACGACAACGCCAACAACATTAGTGCCGTCCGGAACCATTGACCTTAGAAACGCGCCTCTTCGCTTGAAGAGCTGATATGCGTTGATTGTTATTTGTTTCTTTTGCCTACTACAGACCATTCAAAAACTCGCCTTCTGGGTGCCACCAACTTCGTCTACTGGGCTGTGAAGCGCGTTCGAGCGTGCGCAATACCTCTCTAGGCCGAAAGATTGTACACTGAGTATGCGTTCACAGCTCAATGACTTAGGCATTTTTCGTCAGGATAGATGCTCCCACGAGAAGAGCGTAATGGATATGTGAATAGAATTGAAAATTTGAAATGTTCTTGTCCAATCGCATTTTTCTTTGGTTATCAACGCTTTTTAATAAGCACCGAAAAACATGCACCGGTTTTCGCTCAAAAATAAACACCGGAAAAAACACACCGTAATCATTACCCATGTCACCTTTTTGGGTGATATGTGAATTTCCAGAAGAACAGCGAGTTATCACCCTCCCCTAGGAATACCCTGACTACAGAGCAGGCGACCCGTTTTTCCCCGCGTTAGATTGCGGTGACCACGAACCATACGGAGGTCACAGGACGTCCGTGAAAAATAAAAAGGAGGCAAACAACGATCTACTCTGTGCACGCTTCATCCCCGATTTCCACGACCCCAAGGCCGAAGGACGTTTGTGTGAAGGATAACAATAAAATAAAACTTTGCGTCAAAAAAAAAAGCCCGTTTTTAAAAGAAAAAAAAAAGTAGAAACAAGCACAACGCGTTGACGGACCGCGAGGTTGTGGAACACCTCGCGGTCCGCTTGCCACAGGACGGTTGTCTTCGACCCATAGCTCCAAGGTGAATTAGTCACTTGCGAAAACACGGAGACCTACCCAGCGAGAACCAGGAAAGCAAGACACGCACACTGACGCCTCGGCGTGCAGAATGAAACAGGATACGGGCGCGGAATACGGCCGCGGAAGAACACCTCGCACAGTGCCGATCCGGCCGATCTCCGAACGGACGATTTCGCATTTCGTGGACAGCGAGCGCCACCGCACGGGAGAGAGAGGTACCTTAAAAACGACGAAAACAAGCACCGACACCTTGGTTCTTTATATTTGCTGTAGTTACGGAACAAATCGACTTACATGAATAATTTGAATATTATTCGATTCCGTAATAAATTTAGAAGGCATTAAGCGCAATATTTCTTATGTTTGAATTTAGATAATTTTGTAAATTCGCTCCGAACGCAAGAGTGCCGAATTAGCCGATTTTGACCATTTTCATGATTTTTTAAAGAATATAATTAAATTTATGATGAAACATTTGTTGCGCTTAGTGACTCGATAATGACTCAATGTCTTTAAAGCCGAAATTTTCAAGAAGATCCGCGCAGCCGTTATTATGTGAGAATTTTTTTAATTTGGTGAAAAACCTCATGTATAATCTATGGGGCTCTGAGGTGCGCCCCCTCTTAAGAAACGGCATGCAAGCGGTGCGCGTATACATGGAAAAATATTTTATCTTGTTTATTAGTATAATATTCTATTTGTTTGTCATGGATCTGTTGCGTAGGATTGATGAGTCACAAATTGTTCGGAAAAAATAGGACATCTAACATTGATTTCAGCATACCATTGAGACGTAGAATACAGCTGCTCGTTTCAATATGGTGTTCTATCAGCTGTGCTATAAACGACAAACTAATGTGCTAAGTCATAATCCCTTCCCTTGCAGGAACTTCGATAATGGCCTTCACCTCTGGATACGAAGGTACGTGAAGCATGTCTCAGTTGCCTTTGCCAAGTTCGCGATACGTGAAAACTGCGCCGCGGTGGTGGAACGAATACAGGCCCGGAATCGCTTGGTTTCCAGCATTTAAAAGGGACGCGTTTGCAAACAAAGAAACTATCGAACTGTTCAATCCTTGGTGATACGAGCAACAACGCGTTCCGCGTGGTACTGTCAGTGCCACATCGGCAGTGCCACCTAGAGGAGAAGGCACGCACATTGCGTCATCGCTTGCAGGTCTCCAATATGTCCCAAGCGAAAAACACGCTGAAGTACCACGAAAGCATGCGGCAAAGCGGCAGACACCTGCTCGCCGCAACACACAGACGCGACCTAGGCGGTGCTATGTGCATTCACTATAGACATGTAGCTCTCAAGTTTTAGAGCGATAGCTTTACCGGTGACAGTTCGCAGATATTTCGAGCTCGTGGGCTGCCGCCACCCTATACACCAACTCATGTTTACAAACAAACCGGAACGCCCCTAGCGGACGCCACCGGCGCCGCGCATGCGCGATGGGGGTGTGGGCAAGAAGCTCGCCGTCACCTATAAACAAACCATTGGAACGCGATGTTGTCGGCGTCGGTGTGAGTCCCCCTGCCCTTTTTTGCGTTCGAATTGTTGATTCTACGTCTTCCTGGCGATGTCTGACTACTTGAGCGGCGTCAGCGAAATTACCGAGGCTCGTTACACCGCAAAACTTCGCGTGAATGATGTGACATGTGGCGATTCATTCAGCGTGGACGCCGCAGTATGTACGCTAAAGCCTGATTCGCATGATGCGATTTCGCTCGCAGTTTTCAGTCGCGATGCCGCTCGGGCTGCAAAAACGTGAACCGTAGCTGAGATAGTCGACGTTAATACTGAAAATCGCAAGCAGAATCGGACCAAGTGAATTAGGCCTAACAAGTCGGTGATGGTTACTGGTAACAATGATCAACATCTCCTTGTATCTACTGTTTACATCGAGCCTGCTTACCAACTTTCAAATTCAAGTCTTTTGAGGCCTGCACTTACTTCTTATCGCAAGCACCGGGCCAACAATTGGTCTACGGGCCGGCGTCGTAATTCGCGTGGTTCTTTCTGCGCGCTCTCGAGCGCTCTTTCCAGAGCGCGCGAAATCGGGTGGTTGAAAGAGAGTGCTGTGGCCTGATCGGGTGGTTCATTCCGAGGGCGCCTTTCCCTCTCAGAGCGCTCTCTGGCACTCCGTCTGTAGCCGTCGGAGTGCGGGGCGGTGCAGGCGTCACGTGGTAGCTGGACGATGATCACGTGGTTTTGTTGACGATGGCCGGCAGTGGTCTGTGGTGGTGTGCGGCGTCCGGCATGACGGTGATTGATGTGTGGTTCTACAAAGTGCTTGTGCATTCGACGGTGCGATGATTACAACGGACGGCACGACATTCGTTTGCGACCGTAACAGGAAAAGCCGACGTGTGAAGTGTTCCCAGTGCTTTCACAAGATCGTTCATCTCACGGCGGTGAATCCGCTAAGCCTAACCGACGACGAAACAGCTCGCAGAGCTCGCCGCTGTTTTACCGGATTTTGTAGTCGCTTCAATAAATTTTTGAGGTTTGGTAGAAGTGCGTTAAAGGTTTGTGTCGTAAAATAAAGAACCGAAAATAATGCACTGTGATTTGTATCATATTGCGATGCTTGCACGAATTTTCGCCGTGAGAAAAATGCGGTTTATTAACCATTTTTTTATTCGCCTGCTCAGTCGTACGCATGACCGCTATCGCAACGCGTTCACTGTCGAAAACGCGATGAGTTGACATCTGTTTCCAAGCGTTGGCTTTCGTTCCGTTCTGCAAAAATCAATTCGCATATGTTTGTTTTGTTTTCTTTTTTTTACATGCCGACGAGTTAAACAATTTACGTCAAAACCGTTATTTCATCACGTTGCGAGCGTAAATTTTGCTCAATCGTCCACCGTACGCTGTAAGATCGTGTTGTTTTTAATGCATAACCAATGTCCAGAAATTTTAATTCCGTGACTGCTCTGAGAATTTCGGAGCGCTCTGAAGCCAGCGGTTGTGATCGGCTGCAAAGGGATCCCCAGTAGCTCTGGCGGCGAGGAGGGGGCGCTCTGCTGAATCAAGGTCAGAGGGGAGAGGCGACCACCCGAATTCACCATAAGAGAGCAGGCGACAAGCGGAAACGTTTAAAAGAGCAGACGACAGTTCGAACGATCAGGCGGCCGTTTGAACTTGAAGGCGCACTAAACGTAGTCCGCAGGTGGTCCGCACAACTTGACGGTTTTCTGGCGTTCATGTTGGAACGAAACAAATAAATCTGATGACCATAAGTATCCGTAAATTCAACCCAAAGTGCTTCCCGCCCAAGCAATCGTTGTCCGACGGCGTCTGCTTTCCCCATCTCACGGCATATATCCAGAGGCCAGAGGCCGGATTCTCAAAGCGAACTTACGACGAAACAAATGCGTACGACATATTTGAGAGAAAATCCGTATTCTCGAAACGAAATTGTCGTAACTTTTGCGCAGGTTACGACAGAATCCTACGACAGCTCCGAAGCTGTCTTACGCACTTTCTACGATCAAATTAGCATGGCCGACAACGTCGCTCAGTTGCTCGGTCGCGACGACCAACGGACATTTATTTTTCTACCTGCTCTTCTTGCGCGTCCCGACTTCAAGCAGCAAGAAAAAAATAAAGAAGTACTTGAAACCGACCACGACGAACATGAACGCATGGATCCACAAACTCCCTGAAAAGGCAACAACGGCAACGATCCCACCGACCAAGCGAGCTCGGCAGAATATATAGGCCTAGCAGGCACTCCGACCCGTTCCGGCGCAGCATTGCTCAGACGGTCCTTGGCCAAGACCGTCTGCCCACGACCGGCTGGCTTGCTGAATGGAATATGCCCGCGCGACCCTTGTTGACCCTCCCCGTATGAATAGTTTGATAGCTGAACTAAATTTCAGAGGTCAACCGATTCCCCTTATCATCTCGATCACCTTGTTATACGAGGCAGCGGTGACGAACGCTGTCGTCGAAAAGGGACTCCTCGATTCTATCTCCTTGTTTTGTGTGATATAGAGCTCAAATAAACGCCGTATGGATTACCTTCGCAACACGGTATGTACACTTTGTTATTAGTATGCCATTTTTAACTGTCGAGCTGTATCAGTTTGTCGGAGCTACGCGATGCCGGTCCAACCTTTCTTTGCCGAGTGTCACGTCAGTATCGAGTTACAATCGTAGAAGATCGGTCCCGAAGCGCTTACCGAAACGCAGTCTGAATCCAGCACTTCGATCAAACGCACGCGTCCGCTCCGAGTGTGAACAGGTATTTGCGTGACTCTTGCTGACACTCTCGTGGCCGCGAGAAACGCCGCGGCGGTTTGTTTCCTTCTACGTCGCTTTGCAAACGACTGGCACGGGGCTTTTACCAACGATGACAGTTGTGTTGACTTCGTAGCGATCGAGTTTGTAGCAGTCCACGAAGCGTTTAAATCTTGTTAGCGTCGATGTACCACTGCACGGACACGAACCCCAGACAAGCGGTGGTGGAAAGGTCTCCCGTGTTTATGAGAATCAGCTTGAACACTAAACATTTACACACAGACAGGACAGGACATACACAGAGCTGTCTATCAACGAGTGGTTAGCCTGTGTTTGTTATTAAAAATCAACGTGCTCCGAACTATGCCTAGCTCTCTAATTGGTTGTTCGTATTGCCGAAGACGCCGTTGCCATAGCAACAGCACCGGAAGTCATCGTTTCTCCGTAAGAGGTCGTAACTTTCCTCCTCTCACTTAAGAACGCGTTTGTGAATACCGTTCTCGCCTCATCTTACGATGATCGTAACTTTACGAACTTCGTAGCTAAGTTGTCTTAGGTAAGAGGTTTTTTATCTACGACCACTTAGCTACGAAGTTCGTAAAGTTACGATCATCGTAAGATGAGGCGAGAACGGTATTCAGAAACGCGTTCTTAAGTGAGAGGAGGAAAGTTACGACCTCTTACGGAGAAACGATGACTTCCGGTGATGTTGCTATGGCAACGGCGTCTTCGGCAATACGAACAACCAATTAGAGAGCTAGGCATAGTTCGGAGCACGTTGATTTTTAATAACAAACACAGGCTAACCACTCGTTGATAGACAGCTCTGTGTATGTCCTGTCCTGCCTGTGTGTAAATGTTTAGTGTTCAAGCTGATTCTCATAAACACGGGAGACCTTTCCACCACCGCTTGTCTGGGGTTCGTCTCCGTGCAGTGGTATATCGACGCTAACAAGATTTAAACGCTTCGTTGACTGCTACAAACTCGATCGCTACGAAGTCAACACAACTGTCATCGTTGGTAAAAGCCCCGTGCCAGTCGTTTGCAAAGCGACGTAGAAGGAAACAAACCGCCGCGGCGTTCCTCGCGGCCTCGGAAATGCAGGAGTGAGCCGACGTTAAAAAAAATACGTTTGAACAACGAGAGTGTCAGCAAGAGTCACGCAAATACCTGTTCACAGTCGGAGCGGACGCGTGCGTTTGATCGAGGTGCTGGATTCAGACTGCGTTTTGGTAAGCGCTTCGGGACCGATCTTCTACGATTGTAACTCGATACTGACGTGACACTCGGCAAAGAAAGGTTGGACCGGCATCGCGTAGCTCCCACAAACTGATACAGCTCGGCAGTTAAAAATGGCATACTAATAACAAAGTGTACATACCGTGTTGCGAAGGTAATCCATACGGCGTTTATTTGAGCTCTATATCACACAAAACAAGGAGATAGAATCGGGGAGTCCTTTTTCGACGACAGCGTTCGTCACCGCTGCCTCGGAAAACAAGGTGATCGAGATGATAAGGGGAATCGGTTGACCTCTGAAATTTAGTTCAGCTATTAAACTATTCATACGGGGAGGGTCAACAAGGGTCGAGCGGGCATATTCCATTCAGCAAGCCAGCCGGTCGTGGGCAGACGGTCTTGGCCAAGGACCGTCTGAGCAATGCTGCGCCGGAACGGGTCGGAGTGCCTGCTAGGCCTATATATTCTGCCGAGCTCGCTTGGTCGGTGGGATCGTTGCCGTTGTTGCCTTTTCAGGGTGTTTGTGGATCCATGCGTTCATGTTCGTCGTGGTCGGTTTCAAGTACTTCTTTATTTTTTTCTTGCTGCTTGAAGTCGGGACGCGCAAGAAGAGCAGGTAGAAAAATAAATGTCCGTTGGTCGTCGCGACCGAGCAACTGAGCGACGCTGTCGGCCATGCTAATTTGATCGTAGAAAGTGCGTAAGACAGCTTCGGAGCTGTCGTAGGATTCTGTCGTAACCTGCGCAAAAGTTACGACAATTTCGTTTCGAGAATACGGATTTTCTCTCAAATTTGTCGTACGCATTTTTTTCGTCGTAAGTTCGCTTTGAGAATCCAGCCTCAGATTCTCAGACGAACCGAGCACGTGAAAACTGACCTTCAAACCTTTCTCGACACTTTTGGTACGGCCCCAGTCGCGGCGTTTTGACGAGAAGGCAGGTTTTTGGTCTGGTTCCTTTCAAAACAACGCAGGAATACACGTCTGGCATGGGGACTTCTGCCCACAGTTCCAGACCAAAAGTGCGACCGACGCGCCACCACCGCGCCGTGACGTGACAGAGATGAGTTCGTGTATAGAAAAATTCTCCTTCTCTCCCCTCTTGTGGCGAGGAGAGGGAAGTCGGGTTTTCCCGTCGGCCGCGCAGAGCGAAGGGAGGAGAGCCCCGGCATCCCGCCAGTGGCGTCGAGACGAAGGAGGGATCTTCCTGTCGTCTGCTTCAAACAAACAGTTGTTTCCAAACATTCGTCGTGTTATGCGGAATCCCACTTTGTCATTAAGGGTAATGTTGGAAGGCTTGAACAACTTCCACCGCGCTTACCCACTTATTTCACGGATCCCCAAGCTGTCCTGGCGGTCGTAAGTGGCATCATCCACGACGCCAACCACGAAGGCTATGAGAATGAACCACGCCGCAACTCTGTCCTTAAATACGTGACAATACCAACCCACCCGCATTACGGGACCGTGCTACATCTATCGCTTTCGTTTCTGCGAGAATTACGAGCAACATATACGAGTTTTTCAATGTAAGCTAATAAAGCGACCTTCCGCATCGAATTCCACTTAATGCCGGGAGTTTCAAGTTATTCTATAGACCGACATGCTGTTTACAAACAAGCCCGCATTTGCCCACACCAGGAGTGGGCACTGCGTGTGCGCAGAAGCCGCATTCGCGTGACTTCAAGCGTCTGCGCATAGACAGTGACATCCACCGCGCCACCACAGCTGCGTGACGTCAGGGCCGCGTGTTGGTCTACATAGTTTCCGAAATCATCGGACTTCGGAATATTAGTAGAAACTCCAGTTATCTACTGGCTGTCCCAAATAGCGGCCAGACTCTTTAAATCGACCGCAAAATTTGGTTTCTTAACCTATCGCGCTACGACTTCGTGCAGCGTTGCCCAAAGATGGTGCACTTTTTCGTAACATTTTCAAGGGGCAAACTTTCCCGAGGACAAAGTAAAAAAATATATATATATATGTATAAATGAAAAGGCTTAACCCCTATGGAAATACACCGAAGCCACCGGCCTTCAAACAATAGGGCTGCATATTGTTTGAAGACCGGTGGCTTCGCTGCATTTCCATAGGAATTAAGCCTTTTTTTTTCTCTTCTTTTACTTTTTCCTCGGGTAAGTTCGCTTTTTGAAAATTTTACAAAAAAAAATACACTCTTCATAGGGAACGCTGCCCAAAATCGTAGTGCGATAAGTTAAGAAACCGAATTTTCCGGTCGATTTTTAAAGAGCCTAGCCGCTGTGTGGGACACGTGATATTTGAGACATTTGTATAATCTGTGTAAGTTCCACAAAGACAAATTTCGTTCCATGACATTAAATATGTCACAACAGTTCTGAAGACTCCTAATAAAACGATCATTCAGTTGGAAGAAAAAAAATGCATCATACGTTGTTCCGCGTTTTATGAACATGAGGGGCGTGAACGGTCGCGCTAGACGACAAGAGCTCTTTGTCAAAGCTCCACGCCTAACCCATGGTTTCTTTTTTGCAATTATGTGTGACTACGAGTATTCGTATTTAATATCACAATGTAAAACTTTATTTGCAAACGACAAAATGATTTCGTTTGAAACTGAAATTGGAAGGGGTAACTAACTGTTTGAAATATTACCTAATAGTATACAAAACTCAATTGATTTTTTTAGCGAAAAAAAAAAAAAAACTCCACGCCGCGTTGTGTAAAAAGTACTACAACGAGTGATACTAGTGACGAATATTGTGGCATAAAACGATTCTTTGTACGAGATGATTTGTTGCGAGTTGGCGTACCGGAGATTTTCACCTACGACCAGTTGGCCTGTGATGGCTGCGCTTACCGAGTTCTCCTAGACCCCAGCACAACCTACTCTGGACACTCCTGGTAAACCCCGTCAAAACCTGCCAGGAATTTATCGCCGACATCTTGAATTAACAAGATTTAATAAACATGTTTATTTTCTCTCTCTCTCTACCGTCCTAAGCTCCCACCGTCCTAGGCTTCTGGCCGTTAGTAGGCACTGAAAATAAATAAATAAATACTGACAGGATGAAAACGGTAGGGCGTCTGTTTTCAATTCGCAGCACATGCCCTTTGCCTTCCGGCGAGCTTTAACCGAGGCCTAAACGCTCGAGGAGCTCGCGTCTGAATGCGGCACAACTGAAAAATTTCTCTGCCGTTGTCATCTTGCCAGTCCCTAGAGGGAATATTGGCGGAGGGCGGGGCCAGTTCTCGTTGAGCCACGCTCCACTTCTGCATCGTCTACTACACTCCTTCTGGGAACAACCTTAAGAAACGAGAAAACTCACTGTCTCATTCGAGACAATCAGGATGACGAAGCTCTCCGACGATACGTGTCAGCGAACCGTCTAAAATCGCTCACCTTGTTGAAGGGGAGCTGTCAACTGCTTCCCTTCGTGGCCCTAATGGCGTATTCACAGGACGAAGACCCCTTCCACAGACAGGAGCAAACGGTCATCGCGCTTCGAGGTCACGTGCAGTACAGACTACAGCCAAAGCTGCAAGCGCGAGCTAGGCCGCGCTCCAGGCTTTGAGACGAGCTCTTCTAGCGCGAGCGCTCGTTCTGCAGAAGAATATTTCGAAACTGCGATCTCGTGCTCTCGTGGTAGTAAAGCAAGCATGCGTGATGATGTGACTTTGAAGAGCGATGACGTTTGCTCCTCTTTTAGGAAGAAATCTCCATCGTGTGAATACACCCTTACTGGATGAGGGGGACCAGAGCTCGAACTTAGTCAAGTTATGCTGAAAATGTGCACGCACGCTGACTGCATGGCGCCTGTTGTCCCGATGGGTGGGTCACATTGCTCTATTTAAGTGTTGTCGTAGTACAACCTTATAAAAAGGGCGCGCCATTTAGAATATAGCTGCTGTGCCGATTATCTGAGTCCGTCATTATTTGGCGGCGCAATCTGAGCATGCACTGGACATGAGGGAGGCGTCAGCGTTCGGCATTGACTTGGCTCAGCTCGTATCGAATACCAGTGCTGCGTCAGAGCTCGGCGAGGGCTCGGATACGATTACATGCTTCGTTCATTGTGCCCAAGAAATCCCGACTGCGAATATTGCTTGATGGGATCTAAAACGGCATATTGCAACGCCCGCTTTTTGAAATGTTTGCATTCCGCTGTGTGCAGTGTTGGGCAGCCTAAAGCCTAATACTGCTGGAGGACTGTGGCTTTTCGTTCATACCATTAAGCAATCGGTTCTCACTTTTGATTCCAGTTCGGTATTGAACTGAATGTTTCGCGCCCCATTAAGGTCCATTCACATAGGGGCACTTGCTTACGTTTTATTACGTTACGTGATGAATTACTGACAGATCCGTGCTCCATATGTCGCGTGCAAAGCCACCTCCTTATTTGGTTGCCACGCTTCAAATGCAGTACGGACACATTAGGGGTGGCCAGGCTGACCCGGCCTAAGAGCCGCAAACAAAACCACGAAACTTCCAAGAGCCGCGGGGGGACTGGGGGGGGGGGGGGGGGGGGGGGGAGCAAATTTTTGTCCAGTGAAATAAACGAAACTCTAACTACTTTCAATCTATCCCAGTCAAAAGCAGCCTAACTATACGTAATTAAGGTAGCAGTATAAGACTACCAAACCGCAACCCGTCTTTCGATTTAAAACGCTTTCCTGGGGGGGGAGACAGAGAGAGAGGAAGGGGGGGAGAGAGGGGGAGGCAGAGGAGGGAGCCGCGAGTGGCACTTTAACACGCGAAGAGCCGCAGTTTGGCCACAACTACACTAGACGTAAGGAGACTTAAGCTGTCGTAACCTAACGTAACGTAAGGAAATGGGGCTGTGTGAATGAGCCCTTGGAGGCACCTTTTAGTAAAGTGTGAGCGTTTTGTAAAGCGAGGTTTTGTTCGTGCGCTGCGAGAAACTCTCGAACGTTAGGATCGTCTGGTTTTGTAATGGACACGCCAGTTACAAAATCCCCACGAAACCTCCAGAACAAAATTTATAAAAATGAAAACGGGCAGGCAAACTAGGCTTTCTGTTGGGTATACACTTTTATCTATCCGGCAATTCTCCAATGTGTCTTTTCTGCATGGTTGAGTGTGGCAAAACGAAATCTCGTAGCACACTCCCTTATAACTTGTTGCCAAGGTTGAACGCTACTGCCTCCGTGAACCAATTGGAGCGACCGGCTGAAACAAGTGGCAGCTGCATACTAGAGGAGTGCATTACAACGGTACATTGTGGCGTACCACACTGTAAGATCCGATTGGTTTATTGCCAAGTATTTTATAAATGCTTTAGCAGTTCTTTTGGCAGCACAGAGAGTCCAGCGGATTTCATTCGCCTGTCCTCCGGTTGCAGGTACATCTACCAACCGCTGGGGGGCGGCGGACGATCGAAGCTGCTTCGGCTCGTGGGAACAGTTGCCTGCTTTAGCTTCATCTGCATCTGGCACAGCATGACCAGGGCCGTGCAGGTCTGGTGTGCGCTCAGTGCCCTTGGCATCTCTCTGGAGATTGTGACGAAGGCCATCAGGGGCTGCCGGCTCTGTCAGCACCTGGAGGTAAAGCCTTGTAGGACAATCGTTGGAGTGCGAACACTTCCGTCGTCCTAATATTTTTTTACGCACCGCCATAGAGGAGTTAAAAAAACACGTTTCTTTGCATACGTGTTTTACCTAAAGATTTACAATGTCGCTTTTTGAATGAGGGTTACAAAAAATGCAATTTGGTAAGGTTAGGAACATTCTCTGCCAACACGAAAGTACTACTAGTGCCTTCTATATAACCAAACCACTCGGCTTATTCGAGAGGAGTCGCGGAAGCTATACATAGTGCTCATGCTGTTTTTTTAGTGATAGCTCCTTAATATGAACGCCTCCGTTTTCCCCAAAACACCTTCACACAATGTGAGTTGTACATATTAATGAGAGAAAAAATGCATCTATTTACCCAGTTTGTCGCCGAAAATGTTTTCTATCTAGCGGGGTCCATATTAACGAGACATGACTCTAAGATATTCCTTCAAACAGCATGCGCCAACAAAAATTAACCTTAATATGCTTTCAATGTGTTAGCTTAGCTAGCCTTCCAAATTTCTCTGAATTGTGGGAAGAAGTTTAGAAGCATATGAACCTGACCAAAGATGCGTGTTTTTAACGAACGCAAGTCTAAAAATCTTTCCCGCCAAAAACTCGGCGCCTTGCACAGCTTCCCGCAGGGCCCTAATGTGTGTTAAAGCATTTAACCCCATCAACGCCAATCAGGAGTCGGCTGTGATAGGAAAAGGAATGTTATACTTGATGATTGAAAACCTGAGACTGTGGTTTGAAAAACAGAAAATCGTGAAGTAGAAAGAAAAAGGGACAGACAACGTCTCAAAAGACGTTGTCTGTACCTTTTTGGTATTGAGACGTTGTCTGTACCTTTTTCTTTCTACTTCACGATTTTCTGTTTTTCAAACCACAGTCTCAGGTTTTCAATCATCATGTATAACTTACACCAGCTCGCCTGCACTTTAACCGTTTTTTCAATGTTATACTCTTGCGCAGCTATTTTGGTACTCTAAGCAGGACGGAACAACGCAATTAATTATAAGGTATCGACTTTTCACCGAAATTCTCCGAGTGATACTCAGAGTTTTAATTCGGCCTCACCACTAAATGCCCTTAATTAAACTCAGTCCCTCATTAAACTCACTCCCCTCACTAAACGCAGTACAATTTTAAAAACCATGCCCCCATCAAGCCCATGTCCCTCACTGAGCTCACGTCCGTTGCTCAGTCTCAAGCTCATGAGTTTTAGAACTTGGGAACTCACGTACTCACCCTCGACTCAAGTCTGAGAGTGAGTGAGTAGAGTGAGTGCACTCATGAGTGAGGTTTGCCGAGGTATGGCGTCACGGCATTGAAACAGCTGATGGAGCTGTTGTTAGTGTCCACCGTTCTGCAGTGGCCACAAGGAACCATCAAGTTTCTCATCGAAAACCAAACGCCAGCGTAATTTGTGGTGACGAAGGGCCACAGTTCTGGCACGCATACGCAGCAAAAACATATACACATGAGTCTTTTTTTTTTTTTTTGCGAGACTTTATTTTGTTTTATCTTCTAGGGTGGTGATTTGGGCCAGTTATGGTAACAGTTAAACATGATGAAAATCAGCCTCAGATAAACAAGGACGGAGAACGGGTAAAGAATACGACAGGACACAGCCGTTGTCCTGTCGTATTCTTTACCCGTTCTTCGTCTCTGTTTATCAGGCTTTTTTTTTTATCATGCTTAGGTTTTAGCTTGTATTCACTAGGACGAAGAAAGTTATTTTATTCATTTTCAACGTGTCCAAATATTCAGATCAATTCAGGGTGCTTTTGTCGGTCTCATAGAACTTTGATTAAAGAACCCTGAAGGAAACATCTGAACTCCCCCAAATATCATCGGCATGGCAAGTCGAACATGGATTGTGGCCTGCCACGATTCCCCTTTTTACAACCTTAGCTGTGATGGGCTCTTCCCAGCTCTAGAAGTGACGTCCGTTGTCGATGTTGTAGTTGTCGATGGAGGGCGCCTGTCGTCGAGGTTTCCAAATCCTTGAAAAAGATTGCCGGCTCCCGATGGGAATCGAAGCTGAATCCCCTGCGTGCGAAGGAGAGGCGTTACCACTGAGCTACGCCGCAGCGTTAAAAAATCAGTTCAAACTTGGGTGTTTTGTAGTGCCCGATGCCCACTGCACGCCTTTCTTGGAAAAAGAAAGATCGCCTACTGTCGAGATTAGTTATAACGAAGTCAAATTGGAATCGGAAATCACTTCGTTACATTCGCTATTTCGTTATAACCGACATCGGGTATCGGAAATCGTGATCGCTTCGCTGTAGCCGCTATTTCCTTATAACCGGTCTTAAGAGTATAACAAAACGTCATTGCATCACTGTCAGTGCCAAGAGCTCGTGCTGGGAGACGCGCTTTCGCGCGAACCGGAGCAAAAGAAAAAAAAAGCGTTCGGGATAAAATGGTCAGATGTTTCTATTTTGTTTCCAACTCTTTTGTTCACTCACACCACAGTGTGTGAACGCGAAGTGGACGTCTCCTCATAGAAACGAGGCAAGATGTCCGATGAGACTTTTGAGAGCCGGGTGTTGCTCAAAGTAAAAAAAGAAATGTGAGTGGCGGATGCAATAAACGCTTCCATAACACTTGTCTTGTTTCTCACCCCAGGAAGGTAGGGTTGAAAGTAACGCCCCGAAAGTAACTGATTACTTTTAATGCGAAAGCATTAACTGTCCCATGGAGCGAGCTGACGTCATCAGTTTGAAGCGCGAAAACGGCACCTAGTTTCCCCGATTCTTCGGTTCCATTGACTGGCGCGCGTCGACGGGGCTCCCACTGGCCGCTGCGCTCGAAAAGTACGCAGCAGACGACAAAGGGAGCAGACGAGCAGACGACAAAGGGAGCAGACGAGCAGACGACAAAGGGAGCATACAAGCGGCTTGCATGCTTTCGCATTCACATCTCATAAGAAGTGCTTAGGTGTACCTTGAGCTTTTCTGAAGTAACGGCCACTTACTTTTATGAAAGTGTAATTGTAACTGTATTTAGTTACATTTAGTTTAGCCATAAGTAATTGTAAATGTAATTTCTTATTTTTGTTTTAGTTAACGTGTACAAGTATGGGCCTGCTTTCCCAGCGCCCATGTCAAAACCCAGCACATTTGCTCCCATTGGCGACGCTACACGAACACTTACAAAACAAATGAGCATTTTTGACAATTTCGCGATTGCTTTCTTGTCGCCACGCAGACACGCTTGCAGGTTTATATGTTTAGCTATCGCGTTTCACTCTTAAAAGCTTAAGCATCCTCCTGTAATTTTTTGCTGGCTCGGTACGGCCCTAATTACGGTGGCAACTGCTCTATAGTTCTTTCGGTTCCCGAGGGATGAAAGGTAAAAACAGGGGCTGCTTCCTTCTTTGGATTATACAGTTTCGGATTGCCGAAAACCTAGTGGTGCATGTTTCAGATTAGCATACTTTTCTAGAGGGTCAGAAAGAACAGGGCCTTTAAGTTAAGATGAGTGGTTTGGGCGGATCGGTGTTTGCGGACCGCAACTCAGTAGCACGTGCATGGAGCAGAAGCTCGAGCTGCAGAAGAAAGCCAAAGACTCTGCGAGAGACCGTGGCGTTCGAATCACTGTCGCTGATTACAGCAAAGTTCAATGTGTGATTGCAGGTCTGTGAACACTTGAATAGTAGTTTCGTGTACATTTTGTTACTTTGTTGTGCCGTGAAGTGAAAATTTTTTTTCTGTATAAAGAACGTACCTAAAAAAGGAGAACTTGAAAAGGAAGTTTGGACTTGCGCTCAGACTGGCAATGTGAAAAGGCACCCCCTTAAAGGGGTACTCCACCGATTTTTTGAGCTACCTCAACTAACTATATTTTCTGACTCCCCGGCCTTTACTCTCTCCGGTATGCTATTTAGAATCGCGAAATTCTTAATAGTTATTGCGAAATCGGCAAATGAAAATGATGCAAAAACCAACATTCAAATATACGCGCGCTTTTCAGGGCCGTGACGTCAGTGGCAGGCAGGCTTGCCAGTCGAGCAAGCAGCCAAAAAATAGAATATGCCGATCATTTGCTCCGTGATGGAGCGAGGATACTGCAGCGAGCTTCCCAAGCATTCATTTGACACCATGAAACTGCTTCGAATCAGTTTAAAACAAAATCTACAGCCCAAAGAGTGAACCCCTGCCTTCCACTGACGTCACTTTTTCACTGTTGCCAGTAGAGACTTCGAGCTTGAAAAACACGGTGAGGACCAAAACTGTAAATTCAATAACTTCGCGAAAAAACAATATTTTGACCTAATATTTGGGATACTATTTTCGCGATGTTTGTTGGTTAGTTTAGCAAAATTTCAAGCAAATCGGAGACAATGAAAAAATCGGTGGAGTAGCCCTTTAACCCCTTAAAGGGGCCCTGCACATATTCAAACGCCTACCTTTTTTGCGGTTTCCACGTCCCTTGGGGTAAGGGCAAGCCAGCGGGCACGGAGAAAGTATTTAAATATCAGTGCGTCATAATTTAACCGGACGACGAAAAAAACCTCCTCCACCTACGGGGGCGACCCGCGGTGCCGAAAGCGCGCGATATGTGAAGTCTTTGGTCCTGGGCTTACTACTGGTCAGAGCCGCTAAAAGCTTCTTTTTAGTCGAAATACAAAATATAACTGGCGCGAACCATTTGAATTATTTATAGAAGTAGTTTTTCTTCAGTAGTTTAGATAAAAAAAGAAACAGATGCAGCTTATAAAGTACGGAAACAAGATATGACCCGTCGACATACCCGCCACCAAGCGGTGGAAAAGGCGGCGCATACTAGAAAGGTGAAGTGGGGTCAGGCACCGACGAGCGGCGAGCGTAAAAAAGTTCCCGGATGTACGCGGCGGCGCCACGGAAGTATACGGGCTCGAGGATCCGACCGGTTCCGAGCGTTGCGAAGCCCTTCGGCGAGCGGTTTGGCTTGCGGTTTGGCGGTATGGCAGCGCGAGGTGGCTCCCGTTCTGAACTGATCTTTACACAGTGTTTGCTGTCGTTTGTGGCCAATGAAGTTTCATGCCGAATTAGAGTTTAATCGCGCAGCAAATGCAATGCGAGCCGGCCTGGCTGCCCGCTTCATACAGCCTATCCAGAACATGCTTTAGTGGCGCCCTCTCGAGCCGCCGACACGGAGTGCGGCAGCCGTGAGCGCTGGCTGAGCTCACTACCCCTCCTCTAGTTCACGGCCACTCAAGCGACCAAGGAGGTCATGAAGAAGTTATTTATTGCTTGTCTTTGTAATTTTAATTTGCCTATAACTTCTAAAATGAAGCAAAATTCGAGAAAAGAAAAGTTTAATTAAGTTACTACGTTCAGTGCGCTCAGGTTCGGTGCAAACCAAAAACCAGTAAAAAAGTCCTTGCAGGGACCCTTTAGGCCGCGCAACACCAGCGGCTGGGTGCACTTTGCATTCATTTAGTTATGATTTAATGAAAAGTGGCTATCACTGGGCAGGCACTGTTGCCAAGCCGATCTCAATCGAGCGACGCAAAGTCAAGTGCAATCATTATGGAAGCGTCCGACATTTGCAAAAAAAAGGTAAAAAATGCCATTAGATTGTTTTGTAGAAGGACGAGACGGCGGCAATGGGATTCGAGCTCGTTCGGAGTTCAGAGCAGCTCCTGCTTGTCTCACCCTCGCGGCGACGATAGGATGCAAGGATGCAAGCTCGTTTGGAGTTCGGTGGCTGCTCCGAACTCCGAACAAACTTGCACCCTATTGTCGCCGTGTGCGAGAGAGCGGGGGGAGGAGAGACAACACCCCTCAGATCCCGTCCCATGGCCTAACAACTGCCATGACGACGGCGCCCGCATTTTTTTTTTTCGTGTTGTTTTTGTAGATACCCCACGGCCGTCAGGGCAGATTTGGCGCTGCAGTCTGCAATTGTCAATGGGAGGTATACATGGCTTGCACGTGACGTCATTCAAGGAGCGCTACGATGACCACCAAAAAAAAAAAAGGGAAAGAAGGAGCTCCCCTCTTATCAGGATTCTCTTTTGCACCTCGGGGATATGCAAAGATGTCGCTATTCAACCCCCAGAAGATTATAGAAGGTTAACCCCGTCAATCCCAATTCGTACAAAAGCAGCTTCACTCCCCTCCTCTTACATGGTGGTCAAAAGTATGCAATGTGACGTGATAATATCAGAGGGTGTTTCTCATATGCATGAACTGTCCGGATACGGCAGTACTTGCTGTTTATGTGGCGGTCTATGGCCATATTTCAGCCATTATATATTTATAGTATACGGTAATAAATGTCATTTCTGTACAGGCTGCGCATTGAGATTTCCTCATGGAGTAAAACAATGGGACAGATCCGGGTCACCTGATTGGACTGTTTTCAATCACGTCACAACCACGCGCCCTTTGGAAACTAGACAAACGCGGCGGCGGATTTCGCTTCTAGGTCCACACGTCCCCCTGGCTTAAGGCCCGGGCACACTAAAATGCGGAGGCTTGCCGCCCGCCACCGGCTGCCGGGGGCTGCCGTCCAAGGCCAGTTTCCGCGATCAGCGGTTTGCCAACTGGCGCCGTTCAGGCAACCGGCCCGCGCGTGGTGAGGGCTCGCCGTTTCTTGCCGGAGAAGAAAGGAACAAGTGGGAGGAGTGTAGAGAGTGACGTTCCGATGTTATGGCCGGAGAATACGCTGCAGCAGAACGATACAGGATAGAGCAAGTTCAAGGAGAAGCCTTTGCAAGGGAGGTTCAACTGGTATCGAGCATTCGCAACATGAAACCGACCTCTTCTTTGTCGGACCTGCACCCATTTTTTGACGTCAATCATTCACTCAGGCTAACAGGAGGGCTGAAACAATTCTCTTTCCCTTGCTCTGTGAAACATCCAGTCATACTACCAAACATCCATGACAATAAGCTCTTTCATCTGACAGAGCTTATTATTATGAATAATCATTACCAAGTTCTGCATAAAGGAGTATCTAGCAAAATGACCACCCTACGACAGCGGTTTTGGACCCCTAGAGCTCGACAGTTGACAAAAAAGACTTTCAGGAAGTGCCTCTTATGTTCGAGGTTCCGTACAAAGCCAACACCTCTGACCTTCGGACTTCTACTTGCGGAGCGAGTAAATATTACAACGCCGTTTGACATTACGGGCACTGACTTCGCCGGACCTTTATATAAGAAGAAAGCCAATGTAGAAACTAACAGCTTTAATGCGTATATTGGCTTGTTTACGTGCGCTACCGTTAGGGCTGTCCATCTGGAGCTCTCAAGCGAGCTCCCTGCCGAAGCTTTTCTTGCATTTCGAGGATTCATTTCCCGAAGTGGGATACCAAGCATTATTTTCTCTGACAAGGCTAAATCATTCAAGAAGGCTCGAATTGCTTAGGGATGGTTTGGAATTCTTGGGAGTCACCCAGACTTCTCGTCATACCTTGCGCAACGGAAAATTTAATGCAAATTTATAGTTGAAAGCGCTCCTTGGTGAGTCGGATGATGGGACAGGTTAGTTCGTTCAGCAATGACAGTTTTAAGGAAGGTTTTCAAAAGAATCAGTTTCAGTTTTGAAGGACTGTGAACGATGCTGGTGGAAGTAAAGGCCATTATAATTTAACGACCATTAACTTATTTTTATTCTGATGTTGAAGAACCGACATCAGTCAGCCGAGCTCATTTTCTGGTTAGACAAAGCCTCATCGTTCTGCCTGAAGGCAAAAAATGCCCAAAATAGTTTTGGAAGCTCGCCAGTGTAACAGAGGTAGGTCTACGTTGGAAAAGATGGTCACATAAGAGCATGCTTCGTCAAAGACAAAAATGGAAATGTATAGACGCTTTACACACGCGCCAGATTGAGCCGCCATAGCCGCCCTTCTCTTGTCTTGCCGAGATGCCGAGCCACTGAAGCGGGCGTTGACGGGTCTTCACTAGGGCCTATGCTGGGCACAAGAACACAGTAGCATCTAAAATGGCAATAACCTGTCCTATTGTGGTAATGATGAAGTGAAGCGAACGGAATAAGAGGGAACAAAATCTGAAGGTCAGTTATGGCGGCGCCCATGCACAGCTGCTGTAAAGCGTCTATATAGACAACCGGTTCAAAAGCTTCATCTACTCGAGACACACCTAGCTTCGCTTGCTCGGAAGGATGTTTGCAAACCCCCCAAAAATAAAGAAGAAAAAAAAACAAGCTGTTGAAGTATGGGTTGAGGAAGAAGAAGAGGGAGAGATGTATGGTTGATCGTATTATTAAACCTACCAATCGCATTGACCTTCTGGTATGACGTTCTGCCCTCTCACTGTCAGATATTTAAGAGCCACCAATGTCACCAGCCCTATCGTGTCGCCACCGTCCTGGGTGGTCCCGTCATGATGCGTTACGTCAACGCCACATTAGAAGATTTCAATCCTCGTGAAACCGCAGAGTTCGCTGCTGGTTTACTGATACAAGCCGCATTATCTCAAACAACAGATTGCGCAAGGAACCGATCGTCTGCTGCTTCCGAGAGTGCGGGACGCTTGAATAGGCCAATTAGAACCCCAATTTGCCAGATGGCTTTACTCCATAAGGATATCCCAATAGCTCCTCAATAAATAACTGCAGGCGACCTACCTGCACGGGTTCCGGCTGCGGGTCCTAAAGGCTGTGCTGGGGTCTGGTCTCTACTTGCTCTCCATGTTCTCCTGTGCCTTCTTTCTCACCAACATGGAGGTGGGCACCATATTTTTCCACAGAGTGATTCTGGGTAAGCAGCAAAAGCGTGTTATCTCTCCAAGAAAGTGTATGTCCGCCAACGCCAAATTTAACGACACTTTTTTGTTTGTTTTGATGTTCAAAGCGCGTCCCTTTGTTCTTGCATAATCTCAAAAGATTGGACCAAAGAAACACCCTAGACTGCGCTTCGGTGTTTCTTGCTCAACGCTTTAAGAAATACCCATAAAAAAAAAAAAAAAAACTTCCGTCCTTTTTTTTTTTTTAAACAAAACAAAAAACCTCTGATAGTAGAGGAGGCGTACAGAAAGAAGATACACGGTTTCATTATATTGTATAAAACATCCTGCAGAAACTACACACACCAGTTTTTGTTGTTTCTCAAATTTTATACGGCAAGAAATTGTTCCAAAATTCGTCTTTGATGCATCGGAACGTAAGCTGGGGCGCGCCAGTCAAAGAGCAACATAGAGAACGCCCAGGGAGCAAGCGATGACGAGGCAGCCAAGCGCGAGCCGTCACGGACGAGATTGGGGCGATAAAAAAACACGTCGGCGCTTTCAGGGGGTAAACAAACGAACTTGCACGGCGTACAGATAACCTTAAAGGGGCACTGAAGTCATTTTTGATATTATATTGTTTAAAATGTGTTAACTCACACATACACCAAGTCCTAGATTACAAAACCGCCTATTCATCTCAGGGTAATAGAAAAACCTATGGACTCATTTTTTTCTCGCGGACTACATTGTGTGGACCAATGAAAGCCCTGCGATACGCGCAGATTCCGAATGATTTTAATATATAACCTGTTTCGAAGCGAGTCTGATAGGTACACATAAGGATAAAACTCCTCTTTTTCTCCGCGGGCTAAGCCATCGCTTGCAACTCGCCGAGCGTGGCTCTGATTTGAACCCGTTCGCATTTCCACCTTCTCGTTTCCACCTTCTCATTTCAACCCAGCCCAAAACAACTTTCGCTTTTCTTCCTTTCTCACTTAAACCGTTCTCAAAACTTACTTTCGCGTTTTGACCATTCCCAAAGATGCTTTTTCTCATTTTAACCTCTCTCATTCCAAACTTACTAAAAACATACTTTCTGGTTTTGACTATTCTCAAAACGATTTTTCTCATTTTAACCATGTACGTGATCAGGCTAAGGAAAAACAACAATTTCACCATACAGTCACGGGAAAACGAAATAAGGGAACCAATGACATTTTGAAGTCCAGGCGCCTTAAGCTTTATTGCGCCTTGAAATTAGGGCTGGGCGTCAATTAAAACGTTTAACCCGATGAATTGCCACCCTTTAATCGATTAATTAATCCATAATCGGCCTCGTTCATTTTCAAACAAAATATTTAAAAAACAAAACTTTTGTTTTTTGTGAATTTTGGGACAAACGGCGGAATAAACCATTTGCATTTCGAATCAGCCCCAATGTGTAGTTCAGAACAGTTCAAAGACGCTCACGCTCACAGGTTATTACTTCAGCTACACGAGGAAAAGAAGATCTTTGATATTTTCCGATAAATGCGATCTCCCTTGATTGCTCACAATAGTCTCTGCTGCGCTAAACAGACACTCGAACGGCGTTGAAATGGACGGGACACGTGTAACCTAGTGAAATTGTCTGGAGTTACTAATCTCGTCCCTGCTGCTTACTTTAGGCTAAAATTTAGCCTAAAGTTTGCTTCTCATACAGGTGTACTCGTCCACGTCTGCGCCGTGAAAGCGCAGAGTTTTTACCTTTCTAGGTTCGTCAAAATTTTACTGATTAAAAAGTTAATCGCGATTAAATCCTCAATCGATTAATCGGTAGGTTAATCGATCAATTTCCCAGCCCTAGTTAAAATGCATTTTGGAGAATGACATCTAGAGGTCATGCCGATCCACGGCATGACGGACGACACATAGGCAAGTACACAATGGTCGTAGATCTATAGGACCACTCCGACATCTTCACACAGCATGCTAGATGAACATAAGTTGCATCCGATGATTCACGACTGAAAGGAAGAAAAAAAGTGAAAGCCGCTTACAACTCCCTGTAACGCCAAATTAGAGCGCAGCTCTTGAGGAGGAGGAGGGAACGGCACTGGGGGGGTTAAACTAACCAGGGGGGTCACGTGATCCCAATGCCGATGATGTCATCACTGACGTCACTGATGACGTCATCAGTGACGATGACGATGCGGGTACCGCTGCCGTCATTAGTGACGTCACTGATGACTTCACCAGTGATGATGACGATGCGAATGTCGGTGACGTCATCAGTGACGTCGCTGATGACGTCATTAGTGATGATGACGATGACGATGCGGATGCCGGTGACGACACCAGTGACGTCACTGATGACGTCATCAGTTATGATGACGATGTCGGTAACGTCATCAGTGATGATGACGATGACGATGCGGATGCCGGTGACGTCATCAGTGATGATGACGATGTGGATGCCGGTGACGTCATCAGTGATGATGATGATGACGATGTGGATGCCGGTGACGTCATCAGTGATGATGACGATGACGATGTGGATGCCGGTGACGTCATCAGTGATGATGACGATGACGATGTGGATGCCGGTGACGTCATCAGTGACGATGACGTCATCGGGTGGTCACGCGACATCGGCGGGGGTCACGTGACCTCGAGGAGGGGGTCACGTGACCTCAGGGGAGTCACGTGACTTCGGGGGGTCACGTGACCCCGGTGGGGGGCTCGCGCGGTGCATTATGGGACATTTCCCATGATGCACCGCGCTGTTACGCCGACGGCGACGGCGACGCCGCTCAAGCCGGAAACGGGCCCCTAAGAGCTGCGCTCTAAAAGCTATGCCTGGTAAGAAAGCCCTCAAGCCACGCAACATCCGCACCTGGACATTTCGAAAAAAACGCCGTAGCTCCCAACATCTGTCTGCATTTTAACGCGTTATGGCGTGCACGCCCCCCAGCATTGGAGCAGTGAACAGCCCCCAGCGTAGACGTACTCATCTCAAAAAGTATGCATATAATACTCGCATTCTCGACGTGACCACCGAACCGGAATTAATCCAACATCATAATTTCCGGAATCTTCCTGCTGTACTCACAAGCAATAACACACGACGAGCACAATGATTCACCCGCTCCCCAAGAAGACAAATTGATGACATCAACAGCGCCAGAGAAGAAATTCGGTACCGAAACAGCGATAGCACTTTTGAAACCACGTCACCATGTGCCCAGGTAGCTACGTTAACAGACCCGGGCCGGCACGCAGGCATAAGGAAAATTGTTTCATGGGCTATGCACGATATGGTGCCACTTTGCAGTCACCTTCGCTTCATCTTCAACCTTCATCCTAAACTGTCCCTATTTCTTTCTGTACCTCACTCTCCTCTGTTTTGAGCGCGTTGTTCAAATACAATGTTCAGATGAGAACGGGTTCAAATGAAAACGGGTCGAAACGCCAGGGTACCCAAACGCGAAAGCTTAAAACTCAAAGGTTTTTTTGCGAATGGGTTTAAACGAGAAGGGTACAGATCAGAATGGGTTCAAATGAGACGGGTACAAACGAGAAAGGGTTGAAATGCGAAAAATAAAAACGCGAAGGGCATTTCGCGAATCGGTTCAAACGAGAAGCGTTCAAATCGGAATGGGTTGTTTCGAGATACACCCCTCGCCGACAAGCGGCCTTCGTCAACAACTTCACTTGGAAGAAAATTCTTCCCAAAAAAGGCGCGTCGCGATTTTCGAAGACGCGTTTAACGATGAAATAAGCTACGCAGTGTTGTGGTTTTGGGTTCGTTGAGATGCTTAGAGCGCCTAGATTGAATTGTCACCACAAAAGGATGATCTTAAAATTGACTTCACTGCTCGTTTGAACCTTTTCCCAGGCTTCCCGCTGCCCATCGTGCCGGTGTTGGTGTTCCTGTACTTCGCATCGCACGTCTCCTTGGACGTCATGGACTGGGAGAGAGTCCCCCGGGAAGCGTCGCATTCACGGCCACTTCTGTCTTCGTAACGGTTGTGCGCTCGACGGACGCTGCAATAAACCGCCCGTCAGAAATGACTCACACAATCGAGTGACCACACAAGGTGCGAGCACTGCGCGTCCGCAGAAACAAAGACAGCGTGAAGGGAAGCGTCTGCGCCTGCGCGGCACGGAGAGCAGAGCCACCGCAGCGGTGTGACGTCACAGCCATTGCGGTGGCGCTGACGACGGCACGATGCATTGCGCCGGCGTTTCACCTTACGCGAATCTCGTTTCCGCGCACGCGCATGTGCACCCCAACCAATGGCGTTTGCGCCATTGCTTGTGGTGCACATACTCTGAGGATGTATTGGACACGAGGCCTACGTCAGCGTTCGGCGAGGGCTCGGATCCAAACACACGTTTCGTGCCCAAAATGTGGCTATCATCGATGTTCTTTGATGGAGATTTGAAAAGTCTATTATGGTGTACTGAAGCGCGTCCCCGACTGGAGTGTTCACAGCGATCACAGAAGTCACTAAAGTTCCGCCAGACGACCTCATAAAAGTATCATGCTGTCACCTTGCTTCCTTATTTCTTTATTTATTTGTACCTGCGGATTTCTTCCGTAGAAGGGGCCCAAGGCTGAAGGCGTGAAGCCTGACGAGGCCGTGGCCCCCGTTTGGCATACAACGGACACCGAACAAAATGGGTGCATTCGAGCAGAACAACACACTTACAATATGAAATCTGAACATTCGAGTATAAACTGAAAAACAGCGATTAAGAAACAGTCTTAAATATTGACCTATAATTAAAAACAAAATCCAAAAAAGTAGAACACGAGCAAATATGCGCAAATTCATAGAGGTATGAATGAAAGAAAGGCAATGAAACTGAAATTCAGACAAGAAACCCCCTACAATATCTAACGAAATTTAGTAAAACACACCCTAGTAGGAGCACATTTATAAAATAGCTGGAAAGCCTAAGCGAAATATGAAACTTCTAGCTGTTGAACGCACATTCACCTATCACTACAGTAGGGATGAAGAAAAAAACAAAACGATTTAGCATGTACCTAGAATATATGTAACATTCACTAACTAAAAAACTAAAAGAAAAACTAATATCACGGCAAACAACTGACCTTCTACAATCTCGTTTAAATTGTAGTGTCGAAATTTTAGAAGTTACTTCGTTCCTCACGATGAAGGATTGTTGTAGTTTGAAGACTAAACTTTGTCGTCCATAATGTGTTCTTATATTGTGTACTTTATGTTTAGGCTGCCGCATATTATACACCGGTGATTGTTCGTGTTGAAGTGTCAGAGAGGATTTAAAAAAAAATTTATTCAAGCAGTTTTTGTTACTAAATTTAATTTCCCTTTATTATGTTATGTTTATGAAACAACGGATCAGTGCGCAAGTTTCTATAATATCCCTGTAGTGGAACATTCTTAAAACTTTTTTGTAGGATTAATAATTTATCATAAATTGAAGCGGTTACAGCGCGCAATACGAAAATTGCGTAACTTAATTTAGAATAAATAGAGTAATAGATATACTCTTTCGTAGCCAGCACGGAATAAAAATTGTGATTTTGTACATAATGCCGATAGTTTCACGCAAACCAGCTTCTAGCCTGTCAACATGACTATTCCATGAAAACTCTTCTGTGAACCATGACACCAAGATATGCTTGCTCTCGGACTTGTTCTAATTTCGTGCTCTCAAAATTAAGGTTTATGAAAGCATTACCTCGTTTGTTAGCTGGTTTAAAGACTAAGCATTTGGTTTTGTTTGTGCTTAATTGCAGTATATTTACTTGTAGCCATTCTGACAACTTGATAACAAAGATAAAAATTTGACGCTCTTTCAGTCCAATGTTTTGTTGAACCAGTAAGGAAAATGTTCGAATCGTCAGGGAACATAATGACTGCCTGTGAGCCGGGCATCGCTGCTAAATCATTTTAATATATTGGAGCTAATAAGATGCCTCGTACGGATCCCTGGAGAACGCCATGCTGCATATTTATATTTGCTGCGCCACCTTCTGCGATGCTAACGGTGGCATAGCAGCAGGCGTGAACGTGGCAGACGCCTGTTCTGCCGCAGGTCGCTCCCCAGCTTCTCAGTCCACGGAAGCTTCCGCTGCCAGGGGATGAGACGCCGCGACGACAGCGACCCTTGCGTCAGCTCGCTTTTTCGCCAGCGTTCCTACGAGAAACCCCCGGTTCGTGACGTCGCCTAACATAAATTGTCAGTTCCTTAAAGACTTAAGGTGTTTCCTTTTTGGGAAAATATGTTATGGGGTAACAATATACATTAGGCTATCTAAAAGTTATCGCGTGTTATAGAATTAACGTATTGTCACGAAAGAAGGCGACGAGAGGTTGAACAGTGAACTACAAAATAAAGGTTTACTCGGCGAACGTGTGCCAAAACAAAATAAAGAACGAGCGTCGAGACAGCAGAAAAGCGTGAGTCGATTTGGCGGCGTAACAGCAAGCGAGAGGGAGACTGACTCGACAAGGTCACGGGCAGCTCCTTATCTAGTGTGCGTCGGCATCGCCGAAATTCGGCCAGAAGGTTCGAGCATCGAAAGTTCGAGATGAGAATGAACAAGCACTTTCGAGAACAAGAAGCTAGTGTGAAATCATAAAAGTTACGCCCCGAGTAAGAAGAGTTCGTGCTCCCAAACAGCGCAAAGTCATAATTTACAACTCTTTGTTTCATTCTCACTAAGTATATTGTCACCCTGTCTGGGCACCACCACGTTTACAAACCTGGAAAAACTATATTTGTTACAAAAGAAAATTCTGAGAAAGATTTCAAAAGTTTTTAAGAAGGTCAGAGTGCCGTAGTTAGACTTACTCCACAAAGGCTTTCAAATTCTCTCTCTCTCTCTCTCCCCCCCCCCCCCCCCCCCAGGAACGCTGCGCCCGTGAGCAGCGTCAGTCAGTTCGTGCATTTCTTATTAACCACATTCGGAGTTAAATGATTTTTTCGCATTCGTTGGAATTATTTATATACACGCGAGTGCTTAGAGGAATTCGTGAGTCTGGTTTAAGCATAAACATATAAAACGGACTTCTCAAGACACCCTCCTGCCAAAACGGGCAGCAGTGCGCGCGATATCTTTACTCATCTTCTTTTTTATTTCATTTTTTTTTTGTTTGACCGAACAAATAATCAGACAAATTTTGTTTTTAAATCTTAATGGACATCTTAGTGAAAGTATGCCAGTGAAGTCACAGGTGCTCCTTGTCAGCCGGACCTACAACAGTCATGACCAGCAGTTTAACAATCTTGGTGCTTGAAACATTCCCGCTTCACTACGAATATAGATATAAATATTTGCGTATACTTTGCACCACTGATTTTGCTTTTCTAATAATTTCTGTAAAAAAAATGGTAGCAGGAGCATTACAAGTGAAAAAAATTCAAAGCTCCTAGAACTTGTAACTTTGAAGGGCCAAAGAGGCTTCTTGGTTAAGCGAGTATAAAGGACAAGCAACGCCGGTATTGTTTTAACTACTAGAATACCTGAAACTGAGCCCCATACCCGAATACAGCACAGAACAATATATATATTCATAATAGACATGGAATCAGAAGATTATCTCGTCTGTGGCATTGGACAGAAATGCCGGTGTGGAGAAAGTACACTTCACAGCGCTGTAACTTTGAAGGAAACAAAATGATGCAACATGATTTTTTGCATGAATAAACACATAAGTATGATGAAGAACTATCACTATAAATTTCAAAAAAATGGAAGATATTTTCTTGACTGCCCTTGAAATTTTTTTAACATTGTACTTGACAAAAACATTCGAGCGACATAAAAAAAATTTTAGATAACGCAACGATTTTTTATCATACGAAATAACTTTTTAAAAAGATATGACATTAATAATAATGCTGTAGCTGTTAAATATTAAAAAAGCAGCGCAGAAATAACGTGACAAAACGTCAAAGGAGTCATGTTTGCACATGTCTGATGCGAAATATATACCCTCCACATGTTGTACACATTGAAATCAATACCGTTCTTATATTTGTAGTTTACGTAGTAGGTGTCAGTAAACATGACATGAGCGAAAACTGAAAAATTCGAATATGCCGTTCTAGACAAGTCTTTTCTTTTCTCTCTCTAAATATGTTTTTGCGAAATCTTTCTTTTGATTACGTTCCCCAGAAATGTTAAAGAGTAACATGTAAAAAATTAAAAAAAAATATGTCTGAAGTCACCTGCACGGTCTTATCTGCACAGAGCCTACTGCAACCGCATTTACTTTTCGCCACGAATGACAGAAAAATCACAATGTTCACAGGGTTGCACTCCCCTTTCTTCATTTATTTGTGCGGCAGGTCACAGCAGAATTGCGCCCGGTTAGTCTGTTTATCGGGTATAACCTCCTACATTCACGTGTACATGTAAATCTGCTCCTTTGCACCAAATACTGTCAAAATGACGCGATTTTCAAACCGGATTTGCTTGCCAACCGGATGTTTCGTACTGCCCAGCCAACGGAGCGGACCACGCGCCGGGGTGAGAGGAGAGAAAGTATTTCCCTCCGCATTCTTTGCAGTGGAAGTCTTTCTAGATAGTGAAAACGTTAAAAGGGTACTTTGCTTAGAAGCAGCTGTTGAAATTGAGGCGGCAATATCGCGGCAGCTTTTAGCGAGCCCTTTTCCGAGAAGCAGGAGAAGCGTTTGTTCAAACTACCAGCCATTGTTCCGCCTCGGGAGATTCTCTCAGAAGCCCGAAGCAACCGACGCCTACACCCACCACCTGTTCCTGCGGTCTTGTGTGGGGAAGGGCAAAGTGAATGGTCGGCCACGCATCCGGAAGAGTAGCGGTAAAACACGCTGTACATTATGCCAGAGACACTGGATTTGAGATAGGGAACGACCCAAACCCATAGACGGAGTTTTGCAATTTAATGACGGAAGGCTCCTCCGCAGACGGTTGCTCACGCGCATGCGTGCGTTTCCGCAGACGTGAAAGACGACCGCAGAGAATCGCTCCCTCCCACAGCTCGTATTGCAAACGCAGCTCTAAAAAAAAAAAAAAAAAAAAACGAGACGCCGAGCGAGCAGTTGGAAGCACTCTCAAATCTAGGCACGCTACTTCGTCCACCGCGTTTGAAAAGAGCTAAGCCTCGAGACAGATCGTGGAAGCATTAGAACTTGAACGGTTGATGACTTCGCCACACACCAAAATATCTCCCAGCGTGCGATGGAGACAACTACAAATCTTTCACTGGTTCATGTGGATTACTGGAATTCTATACGTCCTGTGGTGTTACTTTGCCAGCCCAGCTAGTAAGTCACAAGCGTTATTGTCATTATAATCTTGATCTCCGGAGCCTTCTGATTTTGTAAACAATAATCGTAATAATAGTAATATCGATAATAATAGTTTTTGATTGCACATTTTCTAGTATCCACGTGGCGCTGTGCAAAACTAAGCAGAAAGGTTGGGACCTTCACGCAGGTGCGCCTGCTAGCCGCTTTTCATTTTCGTACTTTATAGGATGACGCGCGTTGGGCGTTAAGTACTTAAAACAATGGCACTAAAATGCATGCAGTCTGCTTCTTCCGAACTGCCGGAACGTTTAAATGTCAAATGGGTCAATCAGAGCGCCAGTATTTCCTTATAATCACATGCTTTTTCGAATGTCCGCGGACCGTACGAAGAACCACCCGCGTATTCTGAACAACCAGGACGGATAAATGGATGATAGTCAAAACTGAGCCGCTGACGACACCGTCGCGAATATTTAATTGACTTCGTGCTGCCACCCAGAAGAAGACGCGGTTCACATTTTATTACGCCGAATCGTTTCCAATAAACCGGTAACCGCCACATGAGATTACGGTTCCTTTCCGGCTGAAGAGTTTTCGTAAACCGCGTCCCCCCCCCCCTTCCCTTCCCCCCCCCCCCCCCCCCCCCCCCCCCCCCGCCCGCTACGAAGAGGCCGCTAGTGCGCCTGTGCGCGATGGCCTTGGCTGTAGAGTTCCATAGATCGTAGCAGGTTGCGGAGAGAGTTCCGGGACTGCGAAAACGATCTACGAAAAATCCCAAACATCAAATATTTGATTTCGGTTAGGTTTTGTTGCCGTTCAGATAAAAATAACGGTTTTGCTCAGGTTTTCAGTTTAGGTTCGGTTCGACCCCTCTTTTTTACAAGCTACATGCTATTTGCGCATGATTGTAACCGCCGCTTTGTCGCGACTCGCAGCCAGGAACGGCACCCTACCCGTATTCAGTTTTGGTTGCTTCACCGAGGGGGCGTCATTTTCATCCACGAAGGAGCATGCGCCAGTGAGACAATCAAGCCGCCGATCACCTCCTGAGCAACGATGCTGTTTTAGGCCATGCACTTACCATGCGCTAGTGGATTGCGCAATCAACCCGTAGGCTTTCGATAAAACTCAACACATCCTGCATAAGAACCGCGCACAATAGACCCTCTCCGGAATTCAGTCTGGCCACTTTGATCATTATCATCATCATCTGAAAACGGCATATGTGCTATACTAATGGCGGACTTCTGTTTACTGATGAAGGAAGAAGTTGAAGATGCTCCTAAGCAGATGATTTGTGGCCTATACATTTTAGATGTTAGCGCGGCGTGAGGCAGGAATTGGACGCAAGAGCTGCGTAAGAGTTCATTTCTAACTCGGTCCCAGTCAATCCGTTAGTAACACTCACTCGGCTTCAAAGCCCCTTGATATATAAAAATCTATCAAGGCGTCTATGTGGGTTGGCGCTTCGTTCCGACTGACTGCATTTGTTTCGCCATCGACACTAGAACAGATTGAAAAATAATTGTAGTGAAGTGCACATTCTCGTTTACCGTTGACCTTTAAGTGAAGGATCCCTATTAAATACTGCAGACCACAGGTTCATTGCCGCCATTAGTATAGTAAAAGATAAACTGCCATTTGAGTCACCAGATGGCACTGAATTCCGGAAAGGGTCTATTCCATTCCCACTCCATTCCGGGCAAAATGCATCAAATTCCATTCCCATTCCATTCCCACCCAGCCCTGCCTCCATTCCATTCCCCATGCCCTTCCGGAATCGCAAAACTGCGGAATGATTTCGGAAGGGTTCCAACTCCGGAGCGGCAACGCAGCAACACCGATGCGCACTAGACATTTTTCCGGAAAAAAAGAAAAAAAAAAATGATTTACGATAAAGCACGAAAAGAGGCCTGGCATCCTCCAGATGTTCAACTTTTTTTTTTTTTTTTTTCACATCGCCTAGACCCTGAAATGTCTTATACTGTTTTTTTTTTTGTTTTTTTTTTTGTTATGTTGTTTTTGATGTTGGCAAAAGGTCACTGTAGAGCTTGCTTTCGCAGGAGAAATAACTAACTAACGATTTCGTTCTGCTGTTCATCAAAAAGCTAAGCAGAAACAAAAATTTGTTGTTCAACACATAAAAGGGGTAATAACATACTTCTATATGTTTTAGAAGTTATATATGTCAGAAGCACAGTCAGTGATATAACCTTCAAGATAATAAGTTTGTTTAAAAAGGCGGTACAACGATATTCAGTTGGGATGTTTTTCACTTTATACGAGTTTACTGGTACTAGTGGGACCCAAGTATACTCGCAACCAAGGCTATTGACCAAGAAACCTTTTTGTTCCGGTTTAATCTAAGGATAAAAGCGAGGGTTTTATTTCAGTCTCTCCTTCGCAAATTTGATGATGTAGCGTGGGAGTCGCCACGTCGGCATAGTTCAACGTTATTACTACCCCGTGTCGGCGTAGTCCAATGTTGGCATGGTACCCCAGTGACGATATTTGAATGAGACTCATCGACTGAACCCGAGTATTCCGTAAGCACTCGATTCGGGCTCATGATAATCAATAGCTCGACAAGCATTCGGGTAGCTGCTCGCATCCAATCGCGGCACTGACAACAATAGCCGAACCCCAAAACTGTTTGGAACTAAGCGCCTGTCCTCTGCTTTGTGAACCCCAGCGCGCGGCTATGATCTACATCAGCGGCATATAATCGGCTCCAGACCACGTGGTCGCTTGTCCTGGCTGCGAGTTGAGGGGTGAAGGTTGCTCGTTTTTCTTTAATACTTTCTGCGACGTTTATTCCATGGGGAGAAACACGTACGGCGTGTTTCATTGGTCATAAACATCAGGGATTAGTTCCAAGCGGTATTCGCGTAAAGTACACGAAGTGTTGCACTGCCCCTTGAAGGCTTTGCCAAATCACTTATACAGGTGCCTATCGTGGATAAAAACGTCGGAGAAGATTTGCAAAGCGTCTTTACTATAATTTGGGGGTGCATTTACTTCTGGCGTATATATTTACGGCGATCGGTTCTTTATGTTGTAAAATATTCAGTCAATAATTAAATATATATCTTTTTACTATCAATTTGACTGCATGAAGTTCACGTAACCGCTTGAGACCTACATAAAAAGACGGTACTAAAAAGAAGTGAAAGCCGTTTAGAACTGCCTGTAACGCCGGATTAGAGCGCAGCTATTGAGGAGGAGGAGGATGGAAGGGTACTGAGGGGGGGGGGGGGGGGCATACCCGGAGGGGGTCACGTGACCTCGGGGGGTCACGTGACCTCGGGGGAGGGAGGGGGGCTCGCGCGGTGCATTGTGGGACATTTTCCATAATGCACCGCGCGGTTACGCTGACGGCGACGGCGACGCCGCTCAAGCCGGAAACGGGCGCCTAAAAGATGCACCCTAAAAAAAAAAAAAAAAAGCGCCAGCTGTTTAGTTTGTTGAAGCGTGCTTTTTTGCTTGCTGTTTGGCAGTGTAAAGCATTGGGTCGCGGGTTATACCGAAAATGACTTCGCGATCAGATGATAGATCTGAAGGCGAATACATGAAATGTGCAGAAAGAGACAGGTGATAAATGGGTAATCTTCAAAAGACTCCGACACACGGTCGCACAAAAATAAATACATAGAGATGTAATGATATTCATAATTACACATCAATATCGCGAAGGACAGACAAATGTTCTTACGTAAATCACATTTGGGCATCAGCTTGCATAAGCTAGCAACTTCGCGAAATACGGACTAGCGGGGCTAATGTTATTTTCGGTTTTACGCGCACTTGTTTTGGCCATTCACGTTACAACCCTATTCTTTATCACTTATGCGCTCTAGCAGTTAATTTTTCTGTCGCATATCATCGCGAGACTGCTATGAAAAGGGGTTTCCTTTTTCTCGATTTTTTTTATTGAATACAGATTTGTTTATAAAAAAGGGAGTCCGTGAAAGCTACAAAAATGCGGTCTCCGCAAGTGAGTTATGCGGCTAGGAACATATTATGTTCAAGAAAAAATCCAAATAATAGATGACTAACTAAGAAACATTCAAAAATTAATTCACTTAACTGGGCGTCTAAAGGCACATGTTTATATTAAAACAAAATGGAAGCAATCAATGTTGAAGGCCTGCCCACTCTTAAAAAAAAAATTCTGGTTCGATCTCGCAGTTGGAGTTATCCATTGTCAACTTCTGTTCTGGAAATCTATGAATAGGAAAACTAAACGCACAATGCCCGCCGGAAGGACAACCCTCGATCAGCGCCGGAGTGAAGTGTTAATGATAAAGTTTGATTCGCTTTGGCGTCACACCCCGTCGAAGCCTCCACTTTTCGTCGAGTAATTGATGTTCAGGCTTTTTTTTTATTTTTATTTTTTAATTTGACTTGCATTCATGATTAAAACGTTTCTCAATGATATCGTGCAGTGAAGCAAAGCAACTTGTCGCGGCCAATGAGGTTGCATATCGCTGTGGTTTGTCAACTACGTAACCCCGACTACAACGAGCTCCGGCGCACTCTGACGCAAATTTTGTCATTAAGAGGGGGCGCACCTCAGAGCCCCATAGAGAATACATGAGGTTTTTCACCAACCTAAAAAAATTCTCACATAATAACGGCTGCGCGTATCGTCTTGAAAATTTCGACTTTAAAGATATTGAGTCATTATCGAGACACTAAGCGCAACAAATGTTTCATTATAAATTTAGTTATATTCTTAAAAAATCATGAAAATGGTCAAAATCGGCTAATTCGGCACTCTTGCGTTCGGAGCGAATTTACAAAATTATCTAAATTCAAACATAGGAAGTATTGCGCTTAATGCCTTCTAAATTTATTACGGAATCGAATAATATTCAAATTATTCATGTAAGTCGATTTGTTCCGTAACTGCAGCAAATATAAAGAACCAAGGTGTCGGTGCTTGTTTTCGTCGTTTTTAAGGTACCTCTCTCTCCCGTGCGGTGGCGCTCGCTGTCCACGAAATGCGAAATCGT